GGGAAAGAGAGAATCAGGCAGAATGAACAGCATCTCCTACCAGTGTCACAGGAAGACTGTCACTGGAGAAGCAGACAGAATTTCAAATTCCTCAAGTTTCAAAGTGTTATGAATTAGCTTAGCAACTCAGTGTACATCCGTGGAGATTTCTAAACAAAACAAATTGAAAGAAATGCCAGTTATTAATGTTTCTTAAATGCTCCTTGTAATTCCCATCAAAGTTGAGATGTCAGTTTTAATGGACATAAAGTATGATGCTGAAGCAATAAAGATATTTTTTCTCAGTTTTTCACTTTGGATTGCAATACACAGTTTCTTTGAGAGCACATTTAGAGCTTCCTAACTCTTGTGGTGCTTATACAGAGAACCTGCACAAATAAGTTACAGTTCTGATTTCCATTTTAGAGGCAGATAATGAGTAGCTAAATGCTGCAACATAAGACTTTATGGCACCGTAAAGTTTTCTTTTGATCTAAACATACAGGTTTTCAAATACCTGGGTAAAATCAGATGGAGGCATTAGCTTATGCCAATAATTAAGTGTGCTATATAGGACATCCTGACAACTAAAACTATGTATGGATTTATTATTCTAGGGAGGTAGGGAGGGAGTTGTGGTTTTATTTTTTAAAAAAGAACGCCACTACTACTGTTGACATATCTTTTATCAACTTATGGTTTTGAAAAAAACAGTTCCTGGAGATAAATGTACCTAACAACTCTCCATCTTTTTGGGGATTGTTGCTTCTTGCCTTTGCACTTGTAAGAGGGTAATACATATTTCATTATTGTAATCTTTAGGTCAAGAAACCTGAACTGTAGGCTTAAATTCTAATTAAAGTAATCTTCCGGAGAAATTGTGGTAGCATAGCTTCTCCTAGCCATTTCAGGATTGCCTGAACAGAGTCCTGTAGTATGAGGGAAGATCTGATTCAGAAAATTAAAAAAAAAAAATCCTGTCTTTATTTAAATAAATATACTGTGCTACTTTTAAGGTAAACAGTTAATTTTTCTCCCTAAAGGTCTTATTACACCATTGCTAAATAATTCTCATTGCCATATCACATCACAAAAGCACTCTGAGTTTTCCACTGAACGAGGGTAGCTGGGATCAGAATGTATTTCCAAGGACATAGTTTTATGTAACCTGTTTACCGTGTACACCTTGTAAAAATCAGAAATTGTAGACTCTTTGCCCTAAACAATTAATGAATATGTATGTACACATTGGATCCAGGAACAGTATGTTTTTGTCAGAGTGTCCCCTCAGGGACTTTTGCACGCTTCGGATGCACAGTACAATTGAAGCCATTTCTTTGTGAGAAAATAGGTTAATGACTTGCCAAAAGGCAGATGTTAATTGGAAAAAGTGCATACGAGTCCTTTTCTTTACAATATATATGGGTTGCATTTGTTATGACTTGCATCCAAGAACAGGTGCAATTTCAATTGACTCAGCTAGCAGGATGTGCTGAGTGCACTCTTCACCAATTTTAAAATAAATTTTAAATCCAGCAGGA